TCAGGGAACGACAGATGTTGGCGGGGATGCGGAGAAAGGGGAACCCTCCTACACTGTTTGTGGGAATGCAAGCTGGTGCAACCCCTCTGTAAAACAGTATGGAGGTTCCTCAAACAGTTGAAAATAGAGCTACCATATGATCCAGCATTTGCACTACTGGGTATTTACCCCAAAGATACAAATGTAGGGATCCGAAGGGGTACGTGCACCCCAATGTTTATAGCAGCAATGTCGACAATAGCCAAACTGTGGAAAGAGCCAAGATGTCCATCAACAGATGAATGGATAAAGAAGAAGTGGTATATATACAAAATGGAATATTTTGTAGCCATCAAAAGGAATGAGATCTTGCCTTTTGCAACCACGTGGATAGAATTGGAGGGTGTTATGCTGAGTGAAATAAGTCAATCATAGAAAGACATGTATCCTATGACCTCACTGATATGAGGAATTCTTAATCTCAGGAAACAAACTGAGTGTTGCTGGAGTGATGGGGGGTGGGAGGAAGGGGGTGGCTGGGTGATAGACATTGGGGCGGGTATGTGCTATGGTGAGCGCTGTGAATTGTGCAAGACTGTTGAATCACAGATCTGTACCTCTGAAACAAATAATGCAACATATGTTAAGAAAAAAAAAAGAAGAAGATAGCAAGATGGGAAGAATGAAGGGGTGTAAGTCGGAGGGGGAGACGAACCATGAGAGACGATGGACTCTGAAAAACAAACAGAGTTCTAGAGGGGAGGGGGTGGGGGATGGGTTAGCCTGGTGATGGGTATTAAAGAGGGCACATTCTGCATGGAGCACTGGGTGTTATGCACAAAAACAGTGAATCATGGAACACTACATCAAAAACTAATGATGTAATGTATGGTGATTAACATAACAATAAAAAATTTTTAAAAATGATTTAAAAAAATCAACCTAGAATCTCATCCTATGATCATTTGAATTACTACAGAAATTGAACTTCCAGTCTCATGGAGTATCTACTTTAAAGTGAGAGCATTAACTGGGGAGGAATGGGGTCCTGAAAGTTGGGATGGGGACATGTGGGAAGATCCTGATGAACCTGGGGATATTGAGCCTCTAAATTCTGATGAGTCTTTTTTGACACTGGAAGAGATCTCCCCATTCCCAAAAGCAGCACCCTTTCACTGCCAGTGGGAGTAGCCCCTCTACCCCCTTCTGAGAAGATTATCAGTGCAATGCTGAGGAAACTGCATGGACTCCCTGTCTTGCTCGGCAAGACAATTCTGAATATCCTCAGGAGCTCCCTTTTGTTCCCCTTTACTTCTTTTTTTTTTTTTTTAAAGATTCTATTTATTTATTTGAGAGAGAATGAGCAGGGGGAGAGACAGTGGGAGAGGGAGAAGCAGTCTCTCCATTGAGCAAAGGGAGCCCGACGCGGGGCTTGATCCCAGGACCCTGGGATCATGACCTGAGCCAAAGGCAGTCGTTTAACCAACTGAGCCACTCAGGTGCCCCTGTTCCCCTTTACTTCTAAACTTATAACAAGACTCATGTCCTAGAAGGCCCCTAAAGGTGGATGTACAAAGTGTGACCCATGAGGAGGTGAGTTATACTTCAAAAGAACTACTTGAGTTTTCTGATTTATACAGACAGAAATCTGGGGAGCATGTGTGGGAATGAATTCTAAGGATGTGGGATTTCACCATTAGGTGAAAGGAACATGAATTTGGGTCAGGCCAAATTTGTTATATGAGCTCACTCAGCAGAGATTCTGCAACTAATATTGCAGCTTGGGGTGTTAGAAAGGTCTCTAACAATTTGGTTGGTTGACTAAAACATGAACAAAAAGATGGCCCATCATGAGCAAGTTGGAAATACTAGAACTGCGTTGGTTTAATGTAGAGAAAGAGATTGAAAAGCTGAAGGAGATTGGAATGTTAGAGTGGATTTGTTATTTAAAACTTACCCACACTGGGAGGGTCCAGAAGGCATACCTTTCATCATGAGAAATCAATTTGTGAGGGAAACCCCCAACATCTTTGAAGAACTCTGAGATCACTCTTCTCTGTGGACTAGACTTACTTACAGTAGGAACTGCAGTCACTGAATTGGGAAACCTAGATGCAATGGAGGTAATTGGATCCCAGGTGGCAGCGGCCAAGGCAGTACTCAACTGCAAAGGCAAGATGACTGTGGTTACTATAATGGACAGCAGAGTCAAGCTAGCCATCAGAATACTCTGACTCACATGGACCTGTGGCATTGGCCAGTTACTTACGGTGTTCCCAGAACTGAAATAGATAGGAAGTCTACTACGTCCTCATTTGATCAGTATAAGCAGAAAAGTTCTAGATCAAGTGAACAGAAGTCTAACCTGAACCACAAAACATAGAACCATGTTTCTCAGTCTGTTCTCAGACTTAAGCCAGTTTACACAACCAGAATGAAGGGGAGGCTGGGTCTCCATGAGGAAGGATTTTGGTACACTGACTAAAATTTATACTGTTGATCTTTTCCCCAACCTTCCTCAATGAGACCTACAGCCTTTTACTAGGTTAACTGTGCATTGCATAAAAGGAAATAATCAGAACTTTCAAAGACTATTGGACGCTTGCTTGGACTAATTCCAGGAGACCCAGGATGTCCCTGTCACCCACCTATCAGAGTAGTGGCTTGTGGAGGTCAGGTGATCAATGGCGTTTAGCTCAGAACCCTCTCACAGTGGGCTTGGTGGGCCTCCAAACACATCCAATGGTTATTTTCCTTTTCTAGAATCTACAATTGGAATAGATATACTCAGCAGCTGACAGAATCCCCACATATGTTCCCAGACTTGTGGAGTGAGTGCTATTACAGTGGAGAAAGCTGAAGTGGAAGCTACTAGAAGTGCCTGTACCTAGGAAATAGTAAACCAAAAGCAATATCACATTTGGAGGAATTGCAGAGATTAGGGCCACCCATCATCAAGAAATGGAAAATTGCAGGGGTGATAATTCTCATTTCATTCTTCCTATTTGGCCTCTGAAGAAGATGGATGGATCTTAGAGAATGTAGGTTATTGTAACCATCTGGTGATGAGTAGTCCAATTGCAGTTGCTGTACTAGATGTAGTTTCATTGTTTCAGCAAATTCAGTACATCCCCTGGTACCTGGTATGCAGCTATTGATCTGGCAAATGCCTTTTTCTCCATTCCTGTCAATAAGACCAATCACAAGCAATCTGCTTTCAGCTGGCAAAGCCAGTAATACACTTTCATTGTTCTACCTCAGGGGCATATCAATTCTCAAGGCCCATGTCATAATTTAGTTTGCAGAAATATTGATTACTTTTCCTTTCCACATGGTCTATTACATTAATGACATTATGTGGACTGGACCTAATGAGCAAAAAGTAGCAATTACTCTAGATTTATTGGTAAGACATTTGTGTGTCAGAGAGTTTGACAAGTTTCAGACAAAATTTGACAAAAATTCAGGGGCCTTCTTTCTCAGTGAAATTTCTAGGGGCCCATTGGTGTAGGGCATATTAAAATATCTCTTTTGAGATAAGATTAATCTTTGCATGTGGTCTTTCCTACAACCAAAAAAGAGGCAGAAGGCCTAGTGGACCTCTCTGCATTTTGGAAGCAATGTATTCCTCATCTGGGTCTGTTACTCTGGCCTGTTTATTTTTGGCTAAAAAATAAAGATTTGAGTGTTGTCTGTATTTTGTATTTAAAGCCATGTACAAAGATAAAGACTTCAAGAGAAAATATGTGATAAAAAGTGCAAAGAATATGTTAAAACTCTGAGGCACACCATTTGAAGGCTCAAAGAAGGAGAAAGCAAAATAAGTGAAATGAAAGAAAACCAGTAAAGAGTGTTAAAAAGAAGAGAAAGGTAGGAGAGATGCACAGATTGTTTGATCAATAATGCTTTATAAAATTAGGAAAATATAGTGCTGACACCAATAGACATGGGTTTGCCAATCTGGAAATCATTGATGTCATTTGAAAGCACAGTTCCAGTCTAGTGATAAAGGCTGAATACAAAATTGGTATGCAAATGAGTAAAATAATATTGAGAAGTAAAGACAGCAATAAAGTGTTTTCCAGATTCTTGACTCTAAGGCTTTACCTACCTTTCATCTGAAATATCCCTGAAACTAATCTTGTATCCCCATGTAATGCACTTATGTTGTTACTGAGGTTTTTAGTCTATGTTAACCTCTGTTCTTTCCACTAAGTATAGACATTTTGTAACCAATAACAAAAAGCCAGGCGATACAAGATCATTTTACTGAGTTTGGATTTCAACTAAGTGAGTCCTAGAAACTTTTAAACAAATACTTTCTAAACAAATAACCATCCTCACTTCTATTGAATAAATGGAATCATGGAATGATATGTAGTAACTCCCATTCTGTAAATTCTATAGTAATGTAGTAAAGTGGGAAAAAGACAGAACATTGAATCATAAGATATATCTTGGCTTCATCATGTATTAAATGCAATTTTAGGCATAAAACCTAAATTGTGAAACTAAATTTCTTCGCTTTAACTGTGAGAATGATTATGATAATCTATGCAAATCATAAGATTCATGTAAGATTTACAAGAGGAAAATACCTAAAACTTCATTTTTAATGTCACGTGCTATACAAATGAAATCTTTTCATTAACATCACCTGCTACTCCACCCTTTGATATAATATTTAAAAATTACAACATGCATAGAATTCTAGCAATAAAGGTGTAAAATTAGAGGTAGTTCCTGGTTTTGCATTATACATGAAGCTAAACTTCACATTCAAATCTAAATGAGAAAATTAAAATATTGATTAAAGAAGATGCAACATTAAGCATTTCTTTTCAAAGAACACCATAGAAAATAATTAATACATGATTGATAAACTGGAAGAATGTATGTTTAATGTTTAAAAATACAGAGGGTGGGGATTTTTGTCCATTTAATTTACTATTGTACTACAGAATTTTTTCAGATCTTATTTCTTATTTTTGCACGTCCTCAGCAAAGTTCAGAAACTTCACTTTTTTTTTTTTTTAAACAGACAGTCTTACTTTAATCAAGTTCCAGAAAGAGGGCACACTGCTTTGGAAAGCACTTGTCTCAGCAGAAGACGCAAGAGTGTGTGTAAAAGAATGTTTCTAGAAAATACCAAAGGCACGAAACATAACCCCAACTTTGCCTTCCACTTCCCCTTGATGCCACTCCATACCTTGGGTGGGGAGGCTACTTTGTCCAGCTGACTTTGGGAATGTCAGAGTGCTCCGTGAGGGTGTCCAGGTGTCTGTTGAAGTCCTCCACTCTCTGCTTGTGGGTTTTGGAAGCTTTCTTCAGGATCCTTTCCATTTGCCGCTTCTCCTGCATCTTCTCGAAGGCCGCCTGGGCCGGGGTTCGCTTGTCCAGGCCGCGCCGCTTCTCCTCCTCGTTCTTTTTGCTCGTTCCCATCGCTTCCAGGAGTTTCGCCTTGTCTTTGTCCTTCTTTTTCTTCTTCCGCTTGGTAACGCCGAGCTCTGCAACGCCTTTTAGTTTCAGGGGCCCCTTTTGAAGCTGCTCGTATGCCGCCATGATGCCACTTGCAGTTCTGTAAGTAAACTGCCCAGAAACTTCACTTCTTATGCTTCCATCCTTAGTTGTGATTTAAATTTCAGGTTGGCCTTGTAATCACCTCTCTCATCAGTAATTCTTCACACTTTGTTTTCTTCCACCTTTTCCATTTATTCTTTATGAAAATAGGGAGGATAGTCTTGATTTAAGGCAAAAGCTAAGGTCTAAAATGAAAGCTAATCATGGGAAATACATTTTTCTACTTTCCCTGAGATCAGTTTTGTTCTGTCACTTCACTAAAACTTAGTATCATTAAAAAATTCTATTATCACCCAGCCCCTTAGAAAAAATTATTTTTTCTTATGCTGAAAAACTTTTCCAAGCTCTGCTAAAGCAGTCATGAATAGGATAGAATCCTTGGATTTTATATCTGTGTGAAGCCCATGACTCTTAACATAGGACTAAGGAATGTACAGTAGAAGATGCTACTTAAGAAGTGTAGAGTAAAATGTATGAATTGCAGTAGTTGTAAAGGAAGAAATGAAGATTATAAATATAGCTTTTAGGGAACAGCTGTGCAAAAGTTTTCTGTAAAATATATCCATGGTAGAATATTTGATCTATTGAGGATGAGATGTTAAATAGAAAACTTAATATAAGTATTTCTAATCTGTAAAAAAAAAGAAAAAGAAAACTGTTCTTTCCAATCTTTTATATTAAAATTTTGCATTATTAGTACCCCAAAGAAAATTTATTTTGTCCACTTACTATGTTTGAAAGCAATAGAAATTCATTTGCAAACATTTGTTTTCATATTCCCCTTTAATCTAGCCCTAAATATTCATTTTTCTCTCTGCTTATCTAAATTGTAGGCATACTGTAAGGGAATTTCTTCAGACAAAATGAAGGTATTTTGTGTGAGAAAAAGATTGAGTCATCAAAGACATCCTCTGTGCTAAATCCCCCAAATTTCATAATACCTTGAGTCAGTGTCTTTCTTCCGTCTTCGAAACCATTCTTTGAGAAGCAAGTATTTCTAAAGGACTCTACTAGATCCGAGTAAGGCAAACATATAGCAAACATTTTCTGGACTGAACTTAAAGGCATGTTCTATATTTCCCATTCTTAAGAATTCAAATAATAACAACAAAATTGTATCTACGTATTTGTTTGTAATCAACAAACAGCTTGCCTGACCTGGGATGGTTGGAAGGTAGATATGTAAAATTAAAATATTTAAAAATCTTCTTTCTTTATTTAAAATTAAAAATGAAGTATAGCAAAGTTTTTTTTTCTTTCTATTGCTGTTGCAAGAGATCATCACTCTGTATCTTTTCTCAAACATTAATTAATAATGCGACTTAAGTTTATTTGGATTGGCCACATGATTTTGATATGTTCCACTAACATTAAATCACCTTCACTAGGTTTGGAAGGATGATTAGGAATTAATCAGGCAAATATAAAGTATAGTATTAAAGTTGCAAGGAGCAGCATAGGCAAAGGCTTGGAAGTAAGATATCCATTTGGTGGACTTTAGGAAAGTAAGCATGATAGGAACTTATTTTATGAAGGAGTGTGGTACATAATAGCACTGGGGATTTGTTTCTTTCCATATGATTGAGAACTTTATGTGCCAGATATGCAGAATGTTCTGGGAGAGGAGACAAAAGGATGGAAGACAACAAAACTATTTTTTTAAGTTTATTTTTTTTAGTAATCTCTCTACCCAATATGGGGCTCAAACTCAACAACCCTAAAATCGAGAGTCACATGCTCTTCAAATGAGCACCCCAAAATCAAAACTATTTTACACTAGAGTTGTATATAGGGTGGAAAATAGGGAATACCTGAAAAGATTACAGAGGTGTGAGTTATCTCAGACTGATGGTTTCCTAGGCAACTAGCATAAAGACATCAGAGTAAGAGGATCCATCTTGTGTCCAGATCATGGACATTTGTATAATTTAATATGCTTGGGCATAGTTCTATGTGTATTGATGTCATGGTACTCCTTATAAAACTTGCTAAAAATTAAGCTATATCTAATGAAATACATTAATTAGGGATTTAAAATTTTCTGATTTTTAAAAGAAAGATTAATCTAATAAATGGGAGTTAGGATAGAGGAGACATGCAAAACTGCATTATTAATGGTGAGAGATGATTAGGACTTAGAAAAAGCTAAAGTGGAGAATGTGATAAGATACACAAGAATAGAATAAAGTTCCTAAATTAGATATTATTTGGCTTGCTAGAAAAGGGGGTAACGTTGAGGTAGGAAACAATGCTTCTTATACTTTTACACTGAAAAAATAGGAGTTGGTATAATAAACTTGTCTTTATTTAGCTTGGTGCTCCTTTGGATTAATCAGAGAAAACTGTTTAATTAGGTAGATAAAAAGCTTGCTCTGGATGTTAGGAGAGAGGACTGCTTGAAATAATGATGTGAGCTTCATCCACATTTAAATAAATGTTAATATATTTGGCATATTAAGAAAATAGCATTTGTAAAAAGAAGAAAGTCTAAATAGAACTTCAAGGAAAGACTGGAGAGAGAGAGAGGGAGAAGTCCAAAGACATAGAAAAGTAGTCAGTAAAGCAATATGACTACCATGAGTGAGGTTAAAAATGAGAATTTCAAAGAGACACGAGTTATCTGTAGCTATCCATAGTGTGAAATGCTCTAGGACTGAAAATTGCTTACTTAATTGGCAATTTTATGATCACTGGTGATTTTAAGTATGACTGAAGTTCCCTTACTGTTACTTTTAAGAATTTTGCAATTTTTAGTTGGCTATTAATATTTTTCACATTTTTATGACTAGAGTAGCCAGCTAGTAATAGAAACTGGAAGTGTCTTTAGAGACTTTCAGTTTTTTTAAAGCATGTTTTTCATGAATATTATTTTCAAGTGTGATACTGTGGTTTATAATAAATATATATTTTGGTCTTCCATCTACAGTTTCGGGCTTACAGCTCCTAAATTCCTTGGAATTTCTTAAGTGATAAATGCAACGGAACATCTTTTGTTAAAACATTTGGTTTCTTGTCCTCACTTCCTGAAATCAAGTCACCTCAGAGCCCGGAAATGGGTGTCTGTTATTCATAACAAGTCTCTTTCAAACAGGACTTGCAAGACAGAGTTTATGTTAATGAAGTGATTTTTGGAAATCCCCTGGGTTGGGGGTTTCCGGAGAGGGTGACAGGCTGGAGGTTGAATCTACCTATGGTCAGTGATTTAATCAAGCACGCCTAAGCAGTGAACTCTCTGTAAAAATACAAAAGGAAGGAGTTCGAGAACTTCCAGGTTGGTAAATCAGAAAGCTTCCACCTGCCACTGTGCCTGGCCCTAAATAACAAATGCCACAGGAATAGAAGCTCATTTTTTGGGACCTCATCATATGTATCTCTTCATCTGGCTGTTGACCTGTACCCTTTAATATCTTTTGTAATAAACCAGTATCTAGTAAGTAAACTGATTTCCTTAGTTCTGTGAACCACTCTTAACAAGTTAATGGAACCCAAGAAAGGGATCCAGGCAACCTTTGATTTACAGCAAGTCAATCAGAAGCATAGGTAACAACCCGGGCTTGCAATTAGCATCTGGACTGGAGGCAATCTTGTGGGACTGAGCCCTTAATCTATGGGATCTGACAATATCTCAGGGCAGATAGTGTCAGAATTGAGTTGAATTGTAGGACACCCACCTGGTGTCCAATTGCTTGGTGGTATGGGGAAAATCCCACCACATTATAACTGGTGAGCAAAATTGCAATCAATATGTTGTACTTTTTTGTGGTTATTGCTATTCTGAAGGACACTTCAGTAGTCCTGAAGATAATAAAGTGTTTTGTTCTATCACAAGTCTTGTAGTAGATTCAATTCTATGAACATATTTCCTAATAAGAAATTATCCTAGGGTGCCTGGGTGGCTCAGTTGGTTAAGCGACTGCCTTCAGCTCAGGTCATGATCCTGGAGTCCCGGGATCAAGTCCCGCATCGGGCTCCCTGCTCAGCAGGGAGTCTGCTTCTCCCTCTGACCCAACCCCCTCTCATGCTCTCTCTCTCTCTCTCATTCTCTCTCTCAAATAAATTAATAAAGTCTTAAAAAAAAAAGAAATTATCCTAGCAGGACTAGAATGAAGCACATGTGGTAATAATATCTTAGTCTTTTATGATTCTGAAGGATTGCATTTGCAAATGCAGCAGAATCAAATTTCCACAGGAAAAAAGTAATGTGTGAAAACATATCTTTCTATAATTTGACTTAACTTTCAGGCCCTACTTCCCCTAAAATACCCAGAAAATTCAATCATGCCAATTTGCCAGATAAAATATATCTTGGTATCTTACCTCTCACTGGCAAATATTCAGTAAATTCACAATTCTCTCATTTTTTTGTTATGATCCATCTCACCAGGGAGATACAATCAAATACTCTATTTTAATATCACTTAAAATAATTCTTGTCTGGGTGCTTATGCTGCAAAACTGGTATATGTTTAAGATTATTTACTTCAATTTGGTCCTTTTTCTTAGAAATTGCCTTTTTAATTTTGACATATAAAATATTTATAGGTCTAAAATCAAAACTATAACGCAAGTCTAGCTTTCATTATATTCTCCTATCCCTTTCCTTCATTTTTATTAGCTGTGGTTTGTCCTATAATTATTTCTTTTAAAAAAAATCTAAAAAAAGCACCCATATGTATGTGTGTATGTATGTCTTTGTTTAAATTGTAGTCCTCCCCACACTTTCCTAAGCAAAAGGTTACATACTGTAAACATTGTTCTCCTTCTTGCTGTTTTCATTATAATAATATCTCTTGAAAATAACCTCAAAGCCCATAAGCAATGGGCTCTTCCTCATTGCTTTTAAGTGACGTATTACTTCATTGTATGAATTTACAAAGTTTGTTCAACTAGTCAGCTACTGATGCACATTTGAGTTACTGCTACTTTTCTTACTGTAGAGAACCAACAATGCTGTTAGGAATAGCCTTATGCATACAGTCTTTTTTTTTTTTTTTTGTCTGTTCGTCACTCTACTTTGATTATAATTTCCTAAAAGTAGAATTTCAGGGTCAAAGAGTAAATGCATATGTCATTTTGCAAAATTCTCACTGGGAGTTTTATCATCTTTCAGTTCCTCCAGTTGTGTATGCGTTCCCTGTTTCCCCCACAATCTCACCAGTGGAATATTTGTCACACTCAGAATACTTGTTATTTGCATTTTTCTTATTAAGTGCGTGAATGAATTTTTTTCATATGTAAAACTTAATTTTAGTGAATGAAAGTACTTTCGTCATAAGAATAAGAGAGAGGATTAAGCTAGATCATAAATTCCTTAAGTATCAACGTTATTATCCTGAGAAAGCCTTCCTAGATTTCTCATTGATGAGAGTATGTAATGGTCTGGAGAAAAAGGATGACATGAATACAAAACAGAGCACACCTCAGATGTTGACTTTTATTTATTATTTGAACTTATTTTTTTAAATATCAGAAATAACACATGTTTACTTTAGGAAATTGTAGGAAATACATGCAATATTAATGAAATTAGTCTGCTTCCTAGCCAGAATCAGCATGGAATTACATACAAAAAGAAATCAATTTTCTTACTTTTTTTTTTTTACAGTTTAATGTATTTTATTTTATTTTTTTATTTTTTTTTTTAGTTTAATGTATTTTAATAACAAATTTACAGGAACAGCACAGAAGACAGACAACATTAAAAATATGTACTTGCAATGTAGGACAAGTCAGTCAGAAAAGTATAGCGAATAGAAGGAACCTGCTGCATGATAAAAATGCCTCAAACACCATTTAGTTGCTGTCAATAAGAAATTTACTTGTTTCAAAAAACTCCAAATGCTGGCATTGTCCAGAAAAATTTAACAGGTTTATTTATGATTGTTATAAAGTTGAACTGCTGAAATGTGTCACTGAAACGTTTTGACTTGCATTAACGCTTTATGTGCCCACATTTATATTAAAAATTCACACACAAATGCAAATGGAAAAACTGACAATACCTGATTTCTGTCCCCTGTGTTTCCACTTTTAATCATATACTTAGGTACCTTTCGACCCCATGGGGGGTGGAACATCCAACGTTCAGAACTACCACTAACGGGAAGAAGAGAAATTTTTTCTTTTTTCTTTTTCTTTTTTTTTTTAAGAATGAAATGTTTTCCATCATAGTGGATTCTTAAGCATGTTCTCCAATAAAAAACTAAAAAAGTAATATTAATTTTATGGATGTTTTCCAGAATATATATTTTGACCACACTTCATTTATTGATGAATCCGAGAGGAGTAATACTTTCAGAAGTTTGAAATTTCTATCCAAGAATAAGTTACATTACTCTTTTTGTTCAAGTCATTTTAGTATCTTTTACTACAGTTTTAAATCTTCATCATTTCATATTCACTATTAATTTTTTCATATGAGTTTTATATATTTGTTGTTATGTTGGTCAATACCTCTTCTCTCATTAGAACATTTTGCTATTCTAAGACTTTTTTACTTATATATAATAAAGAATATGTCTTGGATATCTGTCATGAGAGTGGCCAACCTGATAATATTATGTCATAACTTTCAGCCATTTTTTTCAAAATTGTATTTTCTATATTCCTCAATTAATATTTTATCTCTTATAATCAGTTGTCGCTAACCTTTTAATTTTTCTCTGTTTCACTTGCTAGCCTTCTGGGACAGTGTTAAATAATAATGGTGATAAACTCATTTTGGTGAACACAAAATACAGAGAATCACGATTTTGTTTCATTTTGGTGGTAATTTTACATATATAATCATTAACATATTAAGGAAGTAGTCTACCATTCTGATTCACTTAGAGCTTTCCCCTTTTTCTCCTCTTGCACCACCTTCTCTTGCTTCTTCTTAAATCAGAAGTAGCTATTTAAGTCTATCAAAATTTTTCCCTTATCTGTGAAGATACCAGATATAATTATCCAGAAAGACATACTTAGGAAATGAAGAGGCTAATCCAGTAAAACATGGAGAGGAAGTATGATTATGGAGTAAATGTTAGAAGTGCTCAGTTGCCTAAGTTTGCAGGAACATGAAATTTATATGAAGTTTGCAGTAGCACAAAGAATGAATGCTACTAAAAGGAAGGCTAAAGAGAAATCAAGTAGTTTTTAAGCAAAAAACACCGAAGCATTTTTAACCAAGTTGCATAACATCTGAGTTAAAAGTAAATAAGAAATGATTTTTTTACTAATATTTTATAGGTGCACACTGAACAGCTCGAGGGAAGAGACAAGGTCATTATTTCCATATCCAGTATCCTATACAAACATAATAGCGAAATTAAGGTAGATATTAATTGAATTTAAAAATTGCTATAATTTACAGGGTTCAATGGAGGTACTCAAATTATGCAGTTACAAATTGTATTGGAAGCACAGATAGTTCTCGTTTTCCATGGTTCCCATAGCACAGACTTCAGTGATCATGGTTCACTTAAATGACACCAGTCCCCCAACAACACAGGTCAGTTTTCATTTACTACAATATATTGTGAGTAATTACATAAAGTACAAACATTCCTGCTACATAAGTAACAGATGCTCATTATGATAAATGACCACTCCTGTCTCTTCTTTCTAGGTATGTCCATGATTGGTCACTGAGAATCTCTTATTCCATTTACATATTGTTAGTAAAGCATACAGTTGTTTTCTCTCTTTGCTTCTCAGTTGTGGAGATACTTTAGACAAGATAATTTAACTTTTAAAGGACTTCTACTGATTCTCGTAGGGTCTTGAGATAAAATGTGAAAACTTGTTATACCACCAAATACAACTTCATTAATCTAAGGAGTTATTTAAGCTTTTAAAACCTTGTAGACTATTGAATGGAGCACTGGGTGTTAGACGCAAACAATGAATCATGGAACACTACATCAAAAACTAATGATGTAATGTATGGTGACTAACATAACACACACACAAAAAAAACAAAAACCTTGTAGACTATTGATACTCCAACTGGAGATCTTGCAATTTCTTTAGCTGAGTTTTAGAAGAAATAGTATAGAAAGCGTAAGCTGAAAATACCCAAACATCTTGGCAGGAGGTAATAGAATATCCTTATAATAGACAAGAGTTTTTTCCATACCATGCAAATGACTGCGGAATGTGAATTGAATCGAAACAGAGTTAAAGACAAAAGACCTGTCAATGATACTTCAATAACAAAAAAATTTTAAAAAAATTTAAAAGATAATAAAAAAGAAGAAATAGCTGACCATGAAAAAATTGATACTGCCATCATTTCAGATGGCAGTCTCGGAGGACTCCGAAATTCCTGAAAAACTGAGGAACTTCCTGAAGACAATTTCTTGGCACAACTAAGGAAAGGAGTTGTGCTGGAGGAGATGAAGCCGCCTTCAGGAAGTGATGCCAGCAAAAAACTTCACGTTAAAGGAACTGTTGGAAATCTTTCATGTCTTTGACATCACAAAGGCTAAACGGTTAAAAGCTGATCCTAACTTAGAAAGAAGTAGGACAATTTGCCAAGGCATGGAAAAGATGTTCAATCTGTATAGTAAGTTGTGTCACAAAAAGGAGATGTATCACTCCTCTTGCTTCTCTTGATAAACCACTTGAATCCTCAATATTTCTAATATTTTAAATTAAAACATATCACATAATATTATTTTACTTTTTTTTCCACTTCCCTACACATTTACAACCAATGGCAAGAAGTTTTTATTTTTTTTTTAAAGATTTTATTTATTTGGCAGATAGACACAGCAAGAGAGGGAACACAAGCAGGGGGAGTGGGAGAGGGAGAAGCAGGCTCCCAGCTGAGCAAGGAGCCCGAGGCGGGGCTCGATCCCAGGATGCTGGGATCATGACCTGAGCCGAAGGCAGACACTCAACGACTGAGCCACCCAGGCGCCCCTGGCAAGAAGTTTTTAATGTTTTGACAAAAAAGTTTTTAAATGTCATAAAACAATAAAAAATGTTTCTCTTGGATTCTGAGATCGATTGTCCAAAGTTTCAGCTTACGTCGTCATCTTTATTTTGTACACTATTACAGTAAACTAGGAGTGTTTGCATTTAGCTACAATTAAAAATTTGATATAGCTACTTTATTTTCACAAATGATAACTACTAGAGTTATTAGATTTTCCAGTCATTTCATTTTCTTTGAAAGCTACATGTTTTCAGCAGTTGAAATATTCACTGGTGTTATACCTGTAACCAAAAAAAAAAAAAAAAATGAATTGTGTGCTTTAGTTTGAAAAATAAACAATTACCTCAGAGTCCAATCTACTATTGCCAAAAGTTATTCTTTTCTTGTCAGATTATTTTAGTTAAGAGACCAAAGTGAAAATAACTATGGTGATTCACCAGAACCCTCAACTGTCTAGGGCCCAAAGCTACCTCTGGGTCTTTCCTTGACAATTCCACCCAAGAGGTCATTGAAAAGTCTGGGTATGCCCAGGACACTTCAGATTCATGCCTGGTGTCTTAATGCAATTATGAATAGTGATTCCTTTTATTCTCAAAGTATTCAGGTTGGGACAACAAATCATATAGTTACGCTGATTCCCATTCTATCTTGTATCACACAAGATAATATCATTGACCCTGATTTGACTTTGTCTTTGTACCTTCTCTCCATTCCTCAGGGCCTTAGGAAAGCGTAGACTAGGAACGTGAAAAGAAGGACAGGGAAGCATAACAGAGTTTCTGAATTTCTACCTTCCGGGTTCTCGATTCCATGAACTCCTTCTATATAGGACAGATATTTTGCTGAAAAAGAACTGCCTGAGCTACAGGCAAATGCTCTCAGAAACATTTTACCTTCTCTTGATACAGTTTGACCACATATGGAGGATGGCTGTCAGAGAGACATCTTCAAAATTAACATAGTGCATTTCCTTTATCATTGACAAGAAGCAAGTGACAGGTTAACTCACAGGTCACAATGCAAAATTTTAAAATCCTTTCTTCTTCCTGGTTTCTTTTCTTGAGAGAACAATTCAGATCCATCTCGGGGAAAGTTGATGGAAGACATTTAAAGAATAGCTATAAATGAACAAACAAACAAAAAATCAGTTACTGTTCCTTTGTACCCGTGGGAGCTAATTCAAATGCCACAGAATCAGATTCATATCATCAAAATTCCACTCAATAATCATTTCATTTCTTGCTTCCTTGTCCCCTTTCCCCCAGTGGAATTTTAAAACCTTTATTCTCCTCGAGCTTCCTATTAACACCATCACACTCTAACACTGAGCAGATGATAGGCAACAAGAGAAGTCATCATATGGGTTGAGTCTCCGTTCCTCCAGACACCACCATGTCTGTATTGGCAGAGGTTCTGCGTTGACTGTGCGGTGGGTCCCATTCATTTAGGACTAGGCTTTCCAATGAGGCCCTCCACTCTTTTCCAACTTACCTATCTCTGTCCTACTCTTTAAATCTTACCCTCTTTGTGGGCCCTACTCTTCCTGGTACTGTAAATTTTTTCTTGGGATATAAAAGATAGCTTATCTTCCATTAACATTCAAGATGCTTAAGAGAAAATCTGGAGTTTAAACTTGATTTTATTGTTTCCTTATCCTTTGGATTTCAAGCTATTTCTATCTCCTTTGAGCACTGTCTTTTCATTTTTTTGGTATATGTAACATAATAATTGCAGTTTAATAATTTGTTAATTACTGATTTATTGTCTTGATTCACCTTAGATTATAAACTTCTCTAAGATTTATAAGGGTATGGATTTTTGTTATATCCTCAGCATATAGTCCATGCTGCAGACCTGAATAAACACTTAAGCCATATTTTTTTGAATAATAATGTTATCAGTATGTACCCCATATTACTTCATTTGTAACACTCTTGCCAGAGTCATTTTTTAATTGTCAACTAACTTTTTAAAAAATTTTTTATTGTTATGTTAATCACCATACATTACATCATTAGTTTTGGATGTAGTGTTCCATGATTCATTGTTTGTGCATAACACCCAGTGCTCCACGCAGAACGTGCCCTCCCTAATACCCATCACCAGGATAACACATCCCCCCACGCCCCTCCCCTCTAGAACCCTCAGTTTGTTTTTCAGAGTCCATCGTCTTTCATGGTTCGTCTCCCCCTCCGACTTACTCCCCTTCATTCTTCCCCTCCTGCTATCTTCTTCTTTTTCTTTTTTCTTAAAATATGTTGCGTTATTTGTTTCAGAAGTACAGATCCGTGATTCAACAGTCTTGCACAATTCACAGCGCTCACCGTAGCACATACCCTCCCCAATGTCTATCACCCAGCCGCCCCATCCCTCCCACCCCCCACCACTCCAGCAACCCTCAGTTGTCAACTAACTTTTTACTTTTAAACATATCTTGGGCTTTGAAGGTAAGCAAACCAGGCTTTGAGTCTTTGGTCTGCTACTTATTCATGTGACTTTAAGAAATTTACTTATCCTCTATGAACTTCAGTTTCCTAACCTGAAATTTAGATATAATAGAACTGATATTGCAGATTGTTTTGTGCTTAAATAAAACATCTTTTCCAGTGTGTGACTTATAGTAGGCATGTAATAAATAGGATTTGTCATTACTTGTATGTATTATTTAGCCTCTTGGAGGTGTTTTCAGTGTTAGTTACATTATTTTTGAAACTCTTCTCTCCATCAGCTCCCATGGCATCACACTTTCTATTGTTCCTCTTCTTTCTTTATGCACTTATTCCTAAGCACCTGTGCTAGTTTTCCTAATTTCCTGCCCCATTTATAGTGTGGATATCTAGGATTTTATCCTTTGGCTTCTTCTTTTCTTAATCTACTAATTTATTTTGGATATTATCACCTAATCTCTAGATTAAAACTTACCAGGCTCAAATTCCCCTTGTACATAGTAAAAGCACACAATAATCGTTAGTAAATATTTGATAATGACTGTTTAATAAAATTACGTGTGGGCAAATTTTTAAAATCTTCAATACAGTCATCTCCCATTCAGCTCCAACCCCAAAGGTATTTTATGTCCATGTCATTCTCACAAGCACCATACATTTGACCTATTAAAATTTACACTCAATATCAGTCCCAACACAAAAATACCATATGTATAACTGATCATTTTTCCTTGTGAATAAATTCAAGACAAAAAACTTAAAATTCTCATAGTCTGCTCTTTCCTTCATACCTCATTTCTAATTAGGTTGTGGCATGAAACAATTTTATTTTTTCTTAATTCCTTAACTGTTTTTTTAACTGTTTCTCTTGATTCAGGTGTCTCTTTTCTCAAAAATGTAAATTAGCAAAATAATACACTAAAATCATGAAAAATCTCCTCTATGACATTCTAAGTACTCCCCGTGCCTACAGAAAAAAAAAAACCAATTTAAAAAAAATCAAGATATTGAACAACTTATACTTCAGCCAGGCTTAAAGTGTTTTCAGTACCATAAGTGGATATACAATAATGAGCAAGACATGTTTTCTACCTCCAGGGAGCTAAAACTCTAGCAGAACAAACAGACGCAGTCATAGCTGTTAGCAAAAAGGGTAATGCTGTGGGAATATGAAAGAGAAAGACATTAATTGAGTTTCATGTGATGGAAGCAAAATTTTAAAGAAGCAATGAGGCTGAAACTTGAAAACTGAATTGGATTAATCGAGTTCAAAAGAGACAGAATAATAATTCAGGTAATACAACTATAAAGGGCAAAACTCACAGAGGCATGAACCACATTCAAGCAAATGCTAATGACAAAATCTGGTTGGTTGGGGCATGCTATATATACATTAAACAAACATATTGTGCTGGGTTGTAAGAGTTTTAGCATTCTACAGTTGGAAATTTGGTATTTTTTTCTACACTCAAATATTAAGAAAAGCAACAGCAAAGTAATCATGAGCATTGCAGTACATTTACCTGATCTGTTTCTTTGCATTTTAACTAATAACATTAATTAGGATAGTGATATGTGACAATAAGATAGGTCATATGCAGGATTGTGCCAAGTACATTATGGCCGAGAGTATAATTTTTCATCAGTGGACAACAACTCTAAGGGAGAAGAGAATCCCATTATTTAATTTGTATCAATGGCCATTTAAAATATGCCTCACAACTGGAAATAAATCATTGCTCTCTCCTTTCTACAAGAACCAGAAAACACAGGGAATAAGAAATACCAGGGAAATAAAGTTCCTTAGCTTACCTGTTGTGATAGGTCTCATGGACCGATCACTCTTAAAATCGTACATACTTGCCATTTGAACCTGTGATAGCAGAATTCCCCAATAACTCTGCTCAAACGGAGGGGGCAAAAGTAAAGGGCATGAAGGCTATTTATTAGGAATAGCCAAGGACTAAGGTTGTCACCCAAATTCTCCTTACCTGTATCTTAATAATACCAAAAACTTTCTGTAGATGTCCCCCAAATCATAACACAGACCTGGGTTTGGTTGCAATTTGTCTTATTGTCCATATTCATCTGGTCATGATATTGTCTTCCATTTCCATACCACATACGTGACTCCGAACATGAGTGAAATCCGACATCTGGAAAACACATGAGGAAAGTCTTTAAAGATACAATACTGATACGCACATAAGCATAATATGTATGCACAAATATACTATAAATTAGCATACATATCAGAATTTACAAACATTTGCATTACCTATTGAAATGACTAACCAAAGTTACATATTGAGTGTTATGACTACTTGTAATATGAGAGAAGGAAGAGAATGGGATCTGAAATGGAATGGCTATTTTATTATAAAACTGTACTAACTCAAAGGAATCTTATAATGCACATCGATAGCCATTGTATTACAATTATTATATAAATTATTCATTACCACTGAATTTAAAATGGAAATTATAATTAATTTGTGAGCTTTTGTAATATGTATATTACATATTTATATATGTAAGGTTTTTGTAAATTTTTTTGTAAATTCCGGTGATATGGTCAGAGGCTTTCTAAAGAGTGATCTGGAAACTGTGAGGATGTGTTTAATGGAAGAAGCTTGGAAGGCTGGAACTAGGAAGTTACTGAAATATGGGTAAGAGGTAATGAGAATGTGACTGTATCACTTCTCCATTAAAAAAAAAATAAAATAAATAATGAAATAGAATGGATTTGGATTTGGAATAATCTGAAGACAGAAGGAAAATCATAGTTAGAGAGGAAGAAAAATGATGAAGGGATTATTAAAAGCACTCAGAGAAAACTTCAGTATGTTTGGATTGCTGCAACAAGACTATAGTCTATCTCTAGTCTGTTAATTTTTTTTTTTTTTTTTTTTTACAGAAACCTTATCACCTCCCTGTTTCCAGTGATCTTTCTATCAGACTGCTTTAAGTGGTCCAGTATTTTTCTGCAACTTTCAGGGGAAAATTCAAACCCTCCCCATTATCTATGGGAACACTCATGACACTCCAACCTTATCCATTAGTTCACTTAGCTTCCTATTCACTTTGAATACCTTGAATTTTCTGAGCACCCCATGCTATCTGTTACCAATTTTATCCCAATATGCTTCCACTCCCAGCATTGAATATTATACCCCACCCAATCTCAACTATTTCTTCCAACTATATTGTTTCTTGCATTACATATTTATGTTTACAAGCACTTATTACACTGAATTGTAATTTTCTGTTTAGTTGTCTGCTTCTATCATACCATGAGTTACTCAAGACAAGGGTTAGTTATTACTGTTATGCATAAGACTTATATTCTTGAAGGTCTCCCAAGTGTTGACACATAGTGTGAAGTTTCTTTCTTTCTTTCTTTCTTTCTTTCTTTCTTTCTTTCTTTCTTTCTTTCTTTCTTTCTTTCTTTCTTTCTTTCTTTCTTTCTTCCTTTCCTTTCTTTCTTTCTTCCTTCCTTCCTTCCTTCCTTCCTTCCTTCCTTCCTTCCTTCCTTCCTTCCTTCCTTCCTTCCTTTCCTTTCTTTCTTTTTTAATGAAAGAAGATAAGAAAGGAAAGAGTGAAGAAAAGAGGGAAGAAAAATCAGTGAGAAGGTATAGAATTTTGGGGAGGGGAAAGGACATGGCTCCTCTCTGAAGAAATTGGATGAACTGTCTGGAAAAGCCTAGGTTTCCACTGTGATTGTTGTGATTATCATTTATATCCAGTTGCATTTGAAAAGGAAAGTTGCCTGTTCATACACTCCATCTTGGGCTTCCACCCTTAAACTATCCAGACAGATTTGTCATTTTCAAAGAGATCTAATGGAAAAACTATCCTCTTTCAATAACAATGGAGCCAACCCACACCAACCATCTAGTCTCTCAGCAAGGATCATAAGGTATATAAGAGCACCTGCACATGAAAGAGAATTTTTATTAAAAATATTTTAAAAAGAAGAAGAAGAAAAGGATAGAAAGGAAAGGAAAAAACTGCCCCCTCCTGCCCAAAAATGAATTTGGGAAAGAGGAGAGTGATATTTTAAATACCCCTCTAATTAATATACTTAGAGGACTCCAAAAGATATTATAAACATAAGGTAAGAACAGGATGCTACAAAAACCAGAACTCTCAAGAATCATGTAAGATTTTATCAGATTAAAAATATGATTGTTGAAATGATAATCAGTAGGAAGATTTAAAAAGGAATCTTTAAAAAAAAGAAAGAAAATACAGAGGAAAAGAGAAAATCTGCAAATCTGAACATTTGAAGAGAAGTCACGTAAAGAACAGGAAATAGAACTTAGAAGTAATAGAGTGTATTTTTCCTAAATTTAAAAGACATAAACTTTCAGACTGAGAAGGCCACAGAGTGCACAGCAGTTAAAAAGCACTCACTCAGAATATCCTAAAATTTCAGCTCCTGCAAATGAATAAATATCTTAAAAGCTAAAGTCAGGGGCGCCTGGGTGGCTCAGTTCATTAACTGTCTGCCTTCTGCTCAGGTCATCATCCCAGGGTCCTGGGATCTAGCCCCGGGCTGGGCTCCCTGCTCAATGGGGAGTCTGCTTCTCCCTCTCCCTCTGCCCCTCCTCACCTCTCCTGTGCTCTCTCTCTTTCCTCTCTCTCTCAAATAAATAAATAAAATCTTAAAAAAAAAAAAGCTAAAGTCAGGTCACTTTTATGGAATGAAATTACACTGGGAACAGACTTCTTAACAACATTGTTTGCTAGAAACGGTGAGGCAACTCTCAATACTCACTAAGAAATTAATTTTTAACCTTTGAATTTATACCTAGCCAAAATAAACCTTTTCAGACATGCAAGAAGACAGAACATTTATCTCCCATATACCAGCTAAACTCCATTATAGCTGAACTCCCTTAAAATGAGAGTGTAAAGTGTGAGTGTAAAAGAAGAAAGAAAGAAGAAATTAAAAAACAAACTGAATCTAACCCAAGAAAGATAGAAGAAAAGAGAGAGAGAGATTAGTTTGATAAAATAATATTTAAACATAAAAAAGAAACTCAGTCAAAAAAGACAAAAAAGGTTTTTTTATACAAGAATTTGTAAATGATTACTTTATTTCCATGTTTTCTTTATTTTAGATATATTTCAAGATTTCAAACCCAGTAAAATGTCTAGGGAAAAATGGAGAACCTGGTTAGGGGTGAGACTAGATGAAACAAGAGACCACTTCACTCACCATTTTCCTTCTTCTTTAAGTCTTCACAGTATTCTGAGGTAAAGTTTTTCAGCTCTTTTAATATGTTTTGTGTTATATTTTTGTAAATGATATGCTCATTTGAGGCATTATTATACATATTCATGCATAGTGTTACATTTTCCTCCAACTGTTGTATTTTGCTTTGTTCAATATCATTTGCTGTTCCGTTGTTGAAGATGAGTTTCCAGTAATCTATAATTCATATTAGGAGATTAATGACTTTAACATAGCCAAAGTTTTCTAATAAATTGTATTAATATCACAATGACTAGTTAAAAATTTAATAGATTACTCATATTAAAATGATATCTACACATGTATAAAATACTAACTGTATGTACTTTTAAGATGAAAATTTATTTGAGATAAAAAGGTTTTATGTTACTCAATAGAGCACTAGTTCCTTATTGAGGGAAATGCCCAAAAATGTTTAAAAATAAAAAAACAAGAAAGATCCATGTGAAGCAGAGATTTCAAAATAAAAGATGATGTAATTCAGTAGTTAATGTATAGTAACCTCACATTTGTGAGGTTAGGATGTACCATAACATACCGGTGAGCCTATGTGCTGTAATTTGAGTTTCTTGGACAGATATAACCATAATTTATATGTGAAGAGCTTGGGAAAACATTAGCACTCAAAAATGTTAAGTAATATGTTAAAGAGTATTTAAATTATTAAACATAGTATTGATATAAATGATACCTACTCTAAGACTCCAAAGATATTAATGCATGTTTTTATATTTTAATAGCTTTTACCTCCCGTTGGCAGATAGCAATTGCTTTTAGCTTCTTCTCCTTCTCTATATTTTGAAGTTTTGTCAATGTACATGCTTTAGATCTTTATTGAGAAAATATATTTTAAAGTACTTGAAATTCCCTTTTTTCTCAAATGTGGAACAAACTGCTGATAAGGGTGGATTGAGAATTTTCCTTTTCTTATAAAGATACTTCAGCTTTGATATTAAAAAGCCTGCTCATTTGTTTATTGATTTATTTGTTCATGAACTCACTCATTTATTCACTTAATAGATTCATTCAGTCAAAGAAAACCAAAGATGAATAGGCCGTAGTCTGTGCCCTTATGAAGCCTGCATTATGTTGAAGGAAAAAAACCTGCCCACCAATTACTATGCTATTGTCAAGAACAGTTATAGAAGTTTTAGGAAAAAAAAATAATCATTTGGGAGAAATTATCTTTCAAAAGACAGCACCATGAAACCAGCTCATACTCACCTGAAATTGGTGTGATTCCTAGGAGAAAATAACTGGCTATTAATAAAGGAATTAGAAAAAAAATCAAGTGTGATAATGCCATTTCGAAGGATGTTTGCAATTAGAATGAGTTGGACAAGAAGAAAATACATGAAGAATGGAGAATTTGCTTTAAACATGTGAAATCATCATGAACACTCTCAGGCTATAATTAGTTGTATTTTTGTTGTATTGATTTCACAATTTCTAGAAAAAAATAGGCTTTACATTCCTATCTTTAGCATGATTCTGCCATGAGTAGTTGCCACTGAGGGAATTTGATATTAAAATATCCTCAAGATAATAGCTAATATGATATGGTCCTACAGTAATGAAACATGCTTTCCTATTAATCTGGAAATATTATATGGATATGTCTTAGGACTTGGATTCATTTGCAATATGCCTGATAAAACCAATCGACAGGCTCAGAGAAAGGTGGAAACTTACTCATCAGGCCCAGGGTCCCCAGTCCAGCCAACACCACCAGGTTCACGGTTATCGAAATGAAAGCCACGGTGCACCACACTTTTGACTGAGTGCTATGTCCTATGAAGAAGCAAATTCAGAAAAATGACATGAAGCAATACATTTTATTTTTTTAAAGATTTTATTTATTTGACAGAGAGAGATACAGTGAGAGATACAGTGAGAGAGGGAACACAAGCAGGCTTCCCGCGGAGCAGGAAGCGCGATGCAGGGCTCGATCCCCGGGACCCTGGGATCATGACCTGAGCCGAAGGCAGACGCATAACGACTGAGCCACCCAGGTGCCCCAAAGCAATACATTTTATATTGTTTCCCTTTTCCCTCACCCTCTCCATCCCCTGCCCCTTATGTATAGGAGTATTGGAAAATTTTTAGTGAAAAACATTGCTTGCAAAGTCAAGCAAGTCCTCATTTATGTTCAGCCAACTTCAATACATCTTTACATTCACAGCTAACACTGAAAACACGTAATTCCAAGTAAATGTGATTATAGGACATATTTTGGATACTTTCATGGACACTCTCTCGTTTATATTTTAGCAGTGTTTCTCCCCCTTCTACCTTCCCCATCTTGCTGTTTCCTCATCCTTCCCATCGCCAGGAAATCAGGGCTGGACACTTGGTGGATGTTCTTTCCTAATTTTTCTATGCTAATATTGAGATCTATTATTTAATATGATTTAAAATCCATTTTCTGATGATTGATCTTCTGAGGTTTTCTCTTTAATATATTATTAGGAAATCATCTACTTTAGATTATCAAATTTATTGCCAAGAAGTTGCGTAGGCTACACCCATGCAAATTTATTCTCTTCCTTGTTTTAGTTACATATTTAAACATAATCCTTTTTTAAAAAGATTTATTTATTTATTTGTTTATTTATTTATTTATTTATTTATTTATTATTTTAAAGTAGAGAGAGAACATGGGGGCATGGGGGCACCGAAGGAGAGAGAGAGAGAGAATCACAAGCAGACTCTCCACTGAGCGGGGAGCCTGACATTGGGGTTGATCTCAGGACCCTGAGATCACTATCTAAGCTGAAACCAAGAGGTGGATGCTTAACTGACTGAGCCCCCCAGGTGCCCTAACTTAATATCTGATCATTTTGCTTTCTCCATTTTTCTTTAATTTGGCTATTGGGTTCTTTTTAGTGAGACCAGTCTTCAGATTAAATTTTTTTCTTCAAAACTTTTCTATTTATTAATTTAAGTTTTTAAATTTGTCAATTCTCTTAAATTCTTTTGTGATTTTTATTATATTTACATTAAGATGGGTTATTATAGTCTTTCTCCTTTCATCATGAAAAATTGAGGTGATAAATCTTGCTTTCATAGTTTTAGCTGTTTCCAAAAAGAAATGTTTTCCTTTGCATTATATTCTAAATATCTGTAATTTTGTTACAGATAAATTTAGACTCTCCAACCTAGATTTTTATACCTTTATTCCCTTACCTCTTCTTTCCTAACACTGGGTTTTACTGTGACAGTTTAGTAAAATTTGTTCTAGACAATTATTAACTTTCTCTTGCAGTGTATCTATTTCACTGCAAAAATGATTTAGCACTTTCACTATTATAATTTTCATTGTAGTCATTCCATCATCAGCTATTACTTTTTGACTCACACCTAAAGTTCCCCTTACCTTGAGGTCTGATTAATTCCTTGTATGTCTGGAAATTTTCTTGAATATTTTTCTTACATGGAGTGTATGATGACATTTTATTTTGTGAGAATTGATGAATTATATCTGTTCTGAATTCAAGATAGGTGAATGGCAGGTTTTTTTCCCCCTCCAAATGATGTCTAATTATTCTTTACTTATTTCCTTTTTTATATCCGTTCTTTTTCCTCTTTATGAACTCTTATTTACATATTAGATCACATGGATAAATTATCCAAGCCTATTATGATTTTCATTATCTCTTTACCTTTGAATAATATCTTCTATCTGATCTTCCAGAATATCTTATTGGGCCTTCATGAACTTCGCTCTTTTTTTTAACTCATCTGCTGAAGTTATTGCTGTCAAAGTCATGTTGTTTCAATTAAAAATTTTTTGATTCCATAATTTAATGTCTGAAATAATCTTACTATGCTGGTTGTTTAATTTGGTTATCTGTCTCTTTCAGGCATTCGATTTTATTAGTAGTTACTTGTTTGGGACATTTGTTTTTTTTCTCCTTTGGCCCCTGGGTCCCCTAAAATCAACAACTATTTTTGTTTTCCCTTAGTTTTACTAACTCTGGAGTTTGAGATCAAGATTTGGAATACTTTGAGAAGTGTCAAACCTATGTGTAATGGAAAGCATAGTTGTTTCTTCCACTATATGTCAATGGCATGCCAGGTGACAAGCCGTTAGTTCTATGTTCCATAAAAAGGGAGAAACCTGGTCCAGTGTCTTCTTGGATATAAAGTCTAGTACTTTCTATGATTTAGAATTACAGAGGACTTTTTTTGCCTGTCCATTCAGTTTATGTATCAATCATCCAAGACCAGAAAGATAAGCAAGTCCTCATAGGACCACATAAGAAGGTTGGTACAACTTTTCTGCTATGGAGTTCAATAATCTCAAGAGACTAGGATATTTCCCAAGGATGAAAGAGGCCCAAATCTTCCCCTAAGCTTTTTTTTTTTTTTTCCTGTGAATCTCCAGGCTCCTAACTAGCACAGAGGCAAACAAGTGCTTCACCTCTTCTCTTCATTGAAACCCCATAAGAGTTTTGGACATAGACATACTTCCAATATCTTTCCTATTTCTAGTTCCATTTAGGAGAGGCACTTACTAGTAGGAAATGGGAATGAAGGGCAGAATAAAATTGCATTTGGGCTGACTGAGATGTTGACTAAAAATCAGTCTGGAATTAATCTTACAGATAGATCTCATTCTTTTACCTTTTTTTTCTAAAAATTCTAATAAAATATAAAAGGAGGATAATGAAGGCATAGATTCAAAATAATGAGGAGAAAGGAAACCACAGGAATGCATTTTGGAAGATGGATAAGTAAAGTTACTAGTAACTTCGTGGGCCTCGGAAAATGAACCAAAGTCAGCAATGAGAAAACAGAAGAAACATGCTGATTTTCATTTAAGAATCCCAAAAGTAGAGGCACTTGGGTGGCTCAGCTGGTTAAGCATCTGTCCTCAGTCAGGTCGTGTTTCCAGGTTCCTGATCAAGCCCTGCATCTGGCTCCTTGCTCATCAGGGAGTCTGCTTCTCCCTCTCCCTCTGCCCTTGCTGGTTCTCTTTCTCTCTCTCTCTCTCTCAAATAAATAAATAAAATATTTTTTTATGTTTTACTCATTTCATTTATTTTTTTATTATGTTCAATTAGCCAACAAATAAATAAGATCTGAAAAAAAAAGAATCTCAAATGTTCTGTAAATTGGTGATAACCTCCTACTTTATCATTCCAAGTGGAAGTGTGGGGGAAGCCTGAAAACTGAAAAAGTACCTGAAAGTCTACATATTATTCAGATAAACTCCCCTCGCTTCATATTTTCTCCCCCACTTCATACAACTGAGTTACCCTCTGTGAGAAAATAGGATATATATCTATCTGTATCCGTATCCAAATGTGTATCTATCTATGTGTTCTGCTTCCTGTCACAGAGCTTCTAAAACCCTGATATTTTCCAAAGTGATAAGAACACTAGGAGCATCTCTTCTAATATTGGATCTTTGACCCTGCTTCTGACACAAGGATCCTCAACCCTTATAAATTCTTAAGCGATAAGAGCCCTAGGAGCACTTTGCTCTTATTTTTTTTTTTTAAGATTTACTTATTTATTTGAGAGGGACAGAGAGAATACCCACATGAGTGGTGGGAGGGGTAGAAGGAGAGAATCTTCAAGCAGACTCCCCACTGAGGGAGGAGCCTGAGAAGGAGGGGCTTGATCCCAGGACCCTGAAATCATGACCTGAGCTGAAATGAAGAGTCTGGCGCTTCACCAACTGAGCCACCCAGGTGCCCCAGGAGCATCTTTTGTTCTAATGAAGTGAGTTTGAGTGGGCTTGTGGATGGATGGGCTCCTAGATGAAAGCTGGTCACAAGAAAGACCATGCCATGACAAGAAGCTTGGGATTTTCAGCCCTCTCCCATTCTCTTGAGCAGGGAAAAGGGCTGAAAATGGAGTCATTAACTCCATCAATCATGCCTATGTGATGAAACCTCCATAAAAATCCCAAAAGTATGAGGTTCAGAGATCTTCCAGGCTGGTGCACATAACATCAGGAGGGTGACACACCCCTGCTCAGGACCCTTTCAGGCCTCATGTATCTCTTTATCTGGTTGTTTATCTCTATCCTTTATCATATCCTTTAATAAAGTGGTAAATGTTAAGCGGTTCTCTGAGTTTTATGACCTACTCAGGCAAATTATTTGTACGTGAAGAGGGGATTATGGGAAACTTCATTTCGTAAACAAATCTGACAGAAGTTGTGGGTAATCTTCGGTCTTACTTCTTGCAATTGTCATTTTAAGTAGGGTGGGAGCAGTTTTGTGAGACTGAGCCTTTACCATGTGGAACTTGACACTATCTCCTGGTAGATAGTATTAGAACTAAGTTGAATTGTAGGACATGCAGTTGCTGTCACAGAGAATTGCTTGATGTGGGAAAACCCTCCACACATTTGATAACAGAAGTATCAGAAGTGAAGTGTTCTGCATGAATAGTAAACAAACAAACAAACAAACAAATATTGACAATTGGGTTTCTCGGTGAACCACCCAAGTGCATGAAGGCTACATATATACCCTCATATACACTGAGGTCCCACTCAATTAATTTGGCATCACACTCTTTTTTAAAAATATTTTATTTATTTATTTGACAGAGAGAGAGAGAGCACAAGCAGGGGGAGTGGCAGGCAGAGGGAGAGGGAGAAGCAGACTCCCCGCTGAGCAGGGAGCCCAACGTGGGCTCCATCCCAGGACCCTGGGATCATGACCTGAGCCAAAGGCAGATGCTTAACCAACTGAGACACCAAGGATCCCTTGGCATAACACTCTTAAATGAGTACAGGCAACCAAATATCATCAGATATTTGAAGAAAGCTGCCAACATGAAAGACTGAGAAAAAAATATAAAACAGACAAAATGACTTTAGAAGAAGAAAAGATAACACAATGAGAACACTTTAAAAGTTCTGTAAATAAACTAAAACTCTCTTACATTTCTGATGGAAATGTAACAAAAGAAAACAATTTTCACAGTTTCTTGTAATGTTAAACATACCCATCTAACCCAGAATTCTACTCCTATGTATTTATCTGATAAGATTTTTTAAAATATTAAAGTAGGCTCCACATGACCCTGAAACCAAGACCTGAGATGAGATAAGGTGTTGGACACTCAACCCACTGAACCACCCAGGTGCTCCAGCCTGATAAGATTTTAAAAAAATATGTCTATGCAAAGACTTGAACTTCATAGCAGCTTTATTTACACTAGTCCCAATTTGGAAGCCACTGAAAAGTCCATCTACAGGTGAATGGATAAATATTTTGTGTATTCATACCATGGAATACTACTCAGTAATGAAAAGTAATTAACTATTGATAATATACAATATGAATTAATCTCAATAACATTATGCTTAATGAAAGAAGCCAGTCATAGAAGACTACATGCTGTTTGAATCCATTTATATAAGACTTGAGAGCAGGCAGAATAGTGTAGGATGACAGAAAGTAGATCAGTGCTAAAATCGGTCGTGGGGGTAACTGAGCGGGGAAGTTTTTTTGTATTTTGTTCTTACTTTTTGGGAACACTGATTAAGAAATTTTATTTCTCAATAAATAAAATAAACACGCAGGAAGCACAGATAATAGTTGCTACGTCATAGCCTTGTTCTTTCCAAAGGATAAAACATCATGCAAAAATGGGGTATAGAGTTTGAAAGAGAGAGAGGTGGTTAGAGAGAGCAGGTACTGTCCTTTTGATTAAAAGACACAAAATATCTTTTTGGGGAGACAGAAATATTGTATATCTTTATTTTGGTGGTTACAGAGGTTTATATTTTTAAGTACAATAAGCTATACAGTTAAAGTGGGTGTATTCTTTTGTATTTAAATTATACTTCAGTAACTTTAACTTGAAATGCAATTTTTAAAACCTTCAGAGAAGTAAGATACAATTTTGTATCTACGTTTAAGAATAGAGTGTTATATTAGAACACTTGAGAAAACAAAAAGAGTTCATTGAAAATAAAATGATACCAGGAACATGTTTGTACTAGGTAAATTAAAAGATAATTTTAAAAAATCATCCATGAGGGTGCCTGGGTGGCTCAGTCGGTTAAGCGTCTGCCTTCAGCTCAGGTCATGATCCCAGGGTTCTGGGATCGAGTCCCACATTGGGGAGGGGAGCTCCCTGCTCAGCAGGGAATCTGCTTCTCCCTCTACCCCTCCTCCCTGCTTGTAATCTCTCTCTCTCTCTCTGACAAATAAATAAAAGAATCTTAAAAAAAGAAAAGGAAAGAAAATCATCCATAAAATTGAACAGAAGGATGAAGTGCTGAAAAATGGGAGGAAATACGGAGCCCCTAGGTGGTACAGACGATTAAGCAACCTACTCTTCATTTTTGCTCAGGTAGTGATCTCAGGGTCCTGAGAGCAAGCCCCGTGTTGGGCTCCATGCTCAGTGGGGAGTCTGCTGAAGTTTCTTTCTCCCTCTCCCTCTGCCCCGCCTTTCTCTCTCTCTCTCTCTCTCTCCAAAATAAATAAATAAATCTTTTAAAAAGAAAAGAAAAATAGGAGGAAATAATATTGTAAAATAGGAAAAACCTAGAAAAAGATTAAAAACTGGGGATAGATGGAGAAAATAAAAAGGAGATGATTTCCCATAAGTAAAGGATATGAGTTTTTATCACCTTTTGTTTATCCTCCTTATTTCCCTTCTCAAAAGTTTTCCATCTTTTATCTTTAAAGATAATCTCTAATTGTTATGCCCCAGTGTCTCCCACAATGCCCTTCCTAACTTTCCCTTTGCCCCAGTGGCTGCATTTATTCACAGAGGGCTTACCTGCTACAGCTCTGCTCTCGGCCATCTCAGCTCTGCTCTCAACTCTCTCTTCTCTATTTTCAGTTTCACCATCCATCTCCATTTCAGGCACTTCATGATTGACTTTAAAAAAAAAAAGTAAAAGTATTTTTTTTAAAAAGTCAGTTTTCTCTCATCTTCTACACTTTCTAACTATCCAGATATTACCAGTGTTCTTGGTCTGATTCTGATTCTGATGATAGATATTTTAAACAGACAAACCCTGGGGTGCCTGGGTGGCTCACTTGGTTAAGTGTCGGACTCTTGATTTCGGCTCAGGTCATGATCTCACGATGGTGAGATCAAACACCCTGTGAGGCTGTCTGTGGGGCATGGAGCCTACTTGAGATTCTCTCTCTACCTCTCTCCCCTCCACTGCCAGGCTCACATGCTCTCTCTCTCTCCCTCCCTCTCTCATAAATAAATAGTAAATAGACAAACACTGTGTGGTCTTTTACAAAAATAAAATTCAAACAACCTACTCTGTTGTATACAAAAAGATAACATTGTTTTATAAGGAAACATGTATTGGAAACTATGTAACAGAACATAAATTGCATCTCCCAGTTTATAAGCACCCTAAGTCGTTTGCCTATGGATGGCAAGTATGTAATACTTCCCAGTACATACAGTGCCTTTGTCAATATTGTAGACACCCAGAAGAGGACTCTATTTGGGGTAACTGGTCCCTAAAACATTATCCACTAACTTGATGCCTCAAATTATATAACTAGAGACATGTTCCTAGAAGTGATTTTTCTTCCTCATTTGAATATAAAATACTTTGGGGTCAATTTATAAAGTAAAAATTCCACATATATATATATAGAGAGAGAGAGGGCATAATTTTATAGTAAGATCAAAATGACTTAAAAACAAACACAAAGGAATAAAAATAATGTAAATAACAAAATATAAATAACAAAACATAATCCCAGGGAAGGCACAAGAAGCCATGTTTCCTATAGCAATACAAAAATTTCAATAAATACAATTTTGATGTTCCCCCAAATCATCTTCCTACGGTTTCATTGTTACCTCTAACTTTCTGGGAATTGAGTTCCTGGATAAAACAGACTAGAATTATATGGCTTGGAATGATATGTAGCTATAAGGAGCCTTCAGTCTTTCTCAGAAAGAAGCAAATGTTTGCCACATCATCACTGACTAGGATTCCAGGGTTCTGCTAATCTCAGAGTATATGTCTATTTTATATCTTTCAGCAGTTAAATAAAAATCCTAGATAGTTATGGTTGTGCTACTACTGTTTTTCCTTCCCATAATAGCCTGTAGGTGAGATCATCCTAAAATGTCTAAAAAATGTAAGAAATGCTATTTTGGTGACACCAGAAATCTGGATTTCCAGAGGCTTAGACCACCATGGTTTGTTTTGTTGTTTTGTTTTGTTTTGTTTTCCACAAACTATGATCTTACAACCTAACCAAGACAGACAACACTATGCTCTGGCGTAGTAACTTCACTACGGACTGGCACTCTGTAATCGAAATCTTGGGAGTCCAGGAGCCTTGAGTTGAAGGCGAAGAGAACTCACCAGCGTAGTTCAATAGTTCTCTTCTCTGATGTGTCTGATCCCACATAGAGGCTCTTACCTGCTCTCTTGAGGCTGTAACTCTCCTGGGATGTCTTCAACTGGGAAGATTTTGGAAATTGGAGAGTAGCATAAGTCACTTCTTCAGGCATACCGAACAAATAAAGCACAATCCGTCACTGTGTGTGGTGCATGTCTCACCGAACCTCACAGAAGCTGCGTTAGTGGCTTTATCTATGCGTGTGCAGACTAAGCTCAGTGACCTACCTTTGCAAAAACCAAGCAAAAATATAGTGTCAGAAAACAGAACTGATCCCCTGAGAATTTCATAATTGCTTTATTCTCACCTCCACACGCATCTCTTATCTTTCTTTTCTTAACTTCCTCCAGTAAACACCAAGTTTGAGAAATGGTCCTGAGAGAAAAATGTGGGTTTTAAATATAAACATTCTTTTTTTTTAAATTTGTGGAAAATGGCAGTGGTCTCCTGACTTGAGAAGGCCCTGTGAAAAAATACAAGTAAAAGTATCATTATTTCTGCATATATAAAGTTGTTAATCAGCATGTACCTGTGAGAATAGTGTTAGAATCGAAAACACTTAACCCATTACTAACTCCCAGAAAACCACAAGTGAGTTAGTTCTCACCAAAACATTGTTCCCTTTTTTTTTCCTTCCTATTTTTGTGGATTGAAAAAAGTCTTCAGAAGTTAAAAGAAGGGGCGCCTGGGTGGCTCAGTCATTAAGCATCTGCCTTGGGCTCAGGTCATGATCCCAGGGTCCTGGGATTGAGCCCCGCATCGGGCTCCCAGCTCCGCGGGAGGCCTGCTTCTCCCTCTCCCACTCCCCCTGCTTGTGTTCCTGCTCTCACTATCTTTCTCTCTGTTAAATAAATAAATAAAATCTTAAAAAAAAAAAAAAAAGAAGTTAAAAGAAGAATATTGGGGCACCTGGTGGCACAGTCAGTTGGGCATCAGGCTCTTGGTTTTGGTCAGGTCACGATCTCAGTGTTGTAAGATCAAACCCCGTTGTAAGGCTCCCTGCTCAGCTGGTGTGTGTGTGTGGGGGGGGTGTCGGCTTGGGATTCTCTCCCTCTGCCCCTCTTCCACTCTCTCTCTCTCTCTAAGATAAATAAATGTTAAAAAATAAAAGAAGAATATTAATAGATCAATACAAAATAAAAAAAGTGATACTAAGAGAAAGAGCAGAAAAAGCTACATGTGAGCTACACTAAATAGAGATTGTCCCCCTCCCACCCCTACCTTCCACACAGAACAACCTCTGAAAAGAAGAGGGATATATTTTAGAAGTGGCAGTTCTTTATATTTAGAGTGTATCCATCAGGTTAGTATCTGAATCCTAATAACTTGAATTTGGGTTTGGAAGGTAGGGTCTATATGTGTATGAACCTGTTTTATAGACTGGGCAGTTATGAAGTTCAGGGAGCTCAAGTGCCTTAGTCATAGTCCAGCAAAGATTAGTTAGTAGAGAGCATACTCTGCATCCTGTATATCTAGCATAGTGGCAAATGTATACCACATGTTCAGTGGATAACTTTAAATGGGTAAGTTATTATTTCATTCAGAAATAATCATAGCATTGCTCAGTGAAAAGCACCTGTTAAATACTGTTATTAATAAAGACACCTTTATCGACTTTTAAGAAAGACTGGGACATTGTGCAGTAGGCACAGCATCTGGATAAAAATGGGATAAAATCACAATACTACAAATGTAGAAGTCAAGGAATATTTAACATGGTGTTGAGAAAGAGAATATACTTCTTTTTAGGAAAACCACATTCTGATATGTAAGCCTTGAAAGAATGAGAAAGACTAAATACCAGCCAGCCATGAAGCTCAGAATTTTCACTGACTTTAATTGCTCTGGAGCAACAGATGTTTCTCCCATCCTCATAAATGTGCTTTTATTAGTAAGGAATTACCTGAAAGAAAATCATTCATTCTTCTAGTCTTCCTTCTGAAACCTTAAGTAGTAATGTATCTCCTAAATCTTCAAGGCTCAGATTTCTTCTCACAGGTTCAGACTTTCATCCCACCCCAGTCTGATCATAATATACTTTGTCTCCATAAATATAAATGCAGTGCAGTTTATTTCATAGGTGGATTCTGCCTATTTAACTTTGAAAAATAAAATGAATATCTTTACTTGGGAGTTCAGGAACATTAACTTATTTACGTATTCATTCTTTTATTCAACAAATTAATCAAGTATTTACTATGTGCTATTATTCCAGAGCAAATGACAAACACATTTTCTTCCTTAATGTAGTTTACATTCTACAATTCATATATTTGATTGGACATATACTTATATGTTAATGTTTTATGTTATTTATTCATGGATAAGTAATACAATGTAAAGTAGCAATAGTGCTATGGATAGGAATAAAGCAGGGAAAAGGTAGGGTGACAGAGGAAGGAGAGGAGTTTTTTATGTTGAACAGGGTACTCCCGGAAGGCCTCTCTGTGGAGGTGTCATTTGGCACAGAGAATAGTAACAGCAAAAATATTGTTCTACAAAAATATGCTAATTTAATACTATAATATTTACCATCTGTTTTAGTTATTAAAATCATGAGTCAGAATAATCTTTTTTTTTAAGATTTTTATTTTTATTTTTGGACAGAGAGAGAGACAGCAAGAGAGAGAACACAAGCAGGGGGGTGTGGGAGAGGGAGAAGCAAGCTTCTGGCCGAGCAGGGAGCCCGATGCGGGGCTCAATCCCAGGATCCTGGGACCATGACCTGAGCCGAAGGCAGACTCTTAATGAATGAGCCACCCAGGTGCCCCCAGAATAATTTTTTATTTTTTATTTTTTCATTTTTTATTATTATGTTGTGTTAATCACCATACATTATATCATTAGTTTTCGATGTAGTGTTCCATGATTCATTATTTGCATATAATACCCAGTGCTCCATGCAGAACGTGCCCTCTTGAATACCCATCACCAGGCTAACCCATCCCCCCACCCCCCTCCCCTCTAGAACCCTCAGTTTGTTTTTCAGAGTCCATCATGGTTCATCTCCCCCTCTGATTTCCCCCCCTTCATCCTTCCCCTCCTGATATCTTCTTTTCCCCAGAATAATTTTTTAAAGTGAATTATTTGCTCTTTCAATTTCAGAGGTTTCAGGGTTTTTAAATTTATTTTTTTTATTTTTTAAAAGATTTTATTTATTTAAACAAACAAAAAAAGATTTTATTTATTTGACATAGAGAGTGAAAGCGCACAATCAGCAGAGGGAGGGAGAAGCAGGCTCCCTGCTGAGCAGAGAGCCCGATGTGGGGCTCAATTCCAGGACCCTGCTGGGAACATGACCTGAGCCGAAGGCAGATACTTAGCCATCTGAGCCACCCAGGCACCCCGAGGATTTTTACATTTCCCCTTTCTTTCCAGTTTCATCATAATATATTCCCTCTTTTCAACTTCTGGGCCAAACTGGACCCCTTGCCAAATATGACCAAGAAAGGAAATAAAAGTACTGTATCCTCATCTGATTTGAATAAGAATTAATTCAGTTCTCCATTTCTGGACCCACTGGTCTAATCCGAGTAACTTGATACGCATAGACTTTCTAGGGATGTTTCACTACCTAAAATGCTTTATCCCGAGACCTTGAATCAGAACCCTTTCATCACTGCTTCTACCCACACTGACCAAATCACAAGCAAAGTACCAGCTGAAAAAATAATAACAATTCAGCAAACTAAGACAGAAACTCCAAAACTGACAGATGTAGGACCTGGCTAACATTACTCAGGAGAGTAGTGACAAAATATCCCAGGATGAATATTGTAACAGCTCTTGTGTAATGCTAGTCCAGAATGGAGTTAGGAGGACTAGACACTCCGGGAAGGATAAGTCTGAGAGGAAAGGACACACCACAGAAAATACAATATGGCAAAGAATCTAAAAATCTGGAGAATATCTTATACATAATTTAAGGAAAGAAGAAAGAATTAGATAATCAAAAGACAAAAGCAGGGGTGTCCGGGTGGCTCAGTCGTTAAGCATCTGCCCTCAGCTCAGGTCATGGTCCCAGGGTCCGGGGATCGAGCCCCGCATCGGGCTCCCTGCTCAGCGGGGAGCCTGCTTCTCCCTCTCCCACTCCCCCTGCTTGTGTTCCCTCTCTCGCTGTCTCTCTCTGTCAAATAAATAAATAAAATCTTAAAAAAAAGAAAAAAGAAAAAAGCAAATTAACTGTAGGATAACTATGTCCAAATGTGGAGCAAACACAAATTTGGGATGACTTGAACAATGAGTGAGGCAAAATAAGAAAATTCCATTTAAACTTTATGCTGAGAATACTGAGCTTTGAGCGGCATATCGGAGATGTAGAGAGAGATTTGTAATTATTACAATGGAATTCATCATTATCCAACCGTAATGTGGTAAATAAATAAATACATTTTTTAAAATTCACTCTTAAAATCAACCAAGGGTAAAATCATGAAATATATATGGCTATGGAACATATGCACACTTCAGTATTAGCAGTGTAAAAGTAAAGGATTGAATGACAGAGATTAAGAAAGAGCAAAATGAGAAGAGAAGGGTGGAGGGCAGGAAAAACAGAAGGAAGGGTGATAGCACCAATCTCCACCTCCAGTGCAGTGAAGAAATTAGAGATAACACTCTGTGGTTGTTTAAATTAGAAGTAAAGGTTTATATTAAGGGGTGAGGGAAAGGAAGTGAGACAGTGGCCTTAAATCATCTATCAAAACAGGAAAGCAATAGATAATTTCTGAAGTTGATAAATCCATATGGAGTAAGACAAACTATTTAGTGATATAAAGATGATCATCATAAGAAATAAAAACAAAGAATTGAAAAAAAATTGCCTCCAAGGAGCAAGACAATCATTTGAGGAGAGATGTTTTTATTGACTAATAAGCGTTTCTGAACTATTTTGTAAAATGTGTACATCTATTATTTTGAAAAATGAAAATAACAATAACTGTGTTATTCATGTAGCATGTATTCATGGCTATCAATCAAGGTTCTCTCTCCAATTTCATAATTTGCCTTCATTCAGACCCTGTCCCAACTGATTTCTTTACTATTGACGCTGCCCTCAATTTAAAACCCATTGTTTGGGGCACCTGGGTGGCTCAGTCGTTAAGCGTCTGCCTTCGGCTCAGGTCATGATCCCGGGGTCCTGGGATGCAGCCCCGCATCGGGCTCCCTGTTTGGCGGGAAGCCTGCTTCTCCCTCTCCCACTCCCCCTGCTTATGTTCCTTCTTTCGCTGTGTCTCTCTCTGTCAAATAAATTAAAAAATAATAAAAATAAAAAAATAAAACCTATTGATTAGTATATTGTACTTTCTGCAGTGAAGTATGGACACAGATTTTGAATTTTATAGTTGTCTTATTTCTGTATATAGGAAGCTGTATATATTTAAATTACATTTAAATAATTAATATAGATTTGTAAATAAATGTTATTACATAATGAATAACTTTTAAACATACACATATTTTTTAAGGTGGGGTAGGAACATAAACTGTGTGTTCTCCAGTCCCTCATACCTGGGGAGTATCCCCTCAGCTACTTCACAACTTGGCAGAATTCCAGTGTTGTCTCTTTATATACTGTTTTAAACAGCAGCTTTTTTTTTTTTTTTTTCCGCTGTACCCAAGGACAGAGGGATCTGTTCCCAGGCTGTCCCTCCCCACTGTGTTTGCAGCCTCAGGGGTGAGGGATCCCCCTGTTATCATGTCTCCATCTCTCTTGCTGTTCCATTGCCATTCTATCCATCTTAGGTTGTTCAGTAGCTGTTTAGTCAGCTGTCAGTTCTTCAAGAGGAATTGTTCTATTAATGGGTGTATATTCTTGTGTCCTGTGGAGGAGGTGAAATCAGCATGTTCCTATGTCAGTGTCTTGAATTGGGACCCTCTTATTAGAATGGTTTTTAAAAACAAACTGTATCAAGTCTTGATGAAAATGTGATGTATAAATGGAATTCTTTTTTTTTCCAGTTTTTTTGAGATATAATTGACATACAGCACTGTATAAGTTTAAGGTATACAGTATAATAATTTGACTTACATATATTGTGATTACCAAATAAGTTTAGTTAACATCCATCACTTCATATAGATACAAAAAATAGAAAAAAAATGTTTTTTCCTTGTAATGAGAACTCTTAAGATTTACTCTTTTAACAACCTTCAAATATACCGTACAGCCATTTTAACCTTAGTCATAATGCTGTACATTAGATCCCTAGTATTTATTTATCTAATAGCTGCAAGCTTGTGCCTTTTGGCCACTTCATCCAGTTTCTCCTTCTCTAACTCTCTGTCTCTGGTAACCACAAATATGACCTCTCTCTCTCTCTCTCTTATATATACTCTCTTATATATATCATATATATAATAAATATTTATAATAAAATAATATATATATATATTTCAAGGTTCCACATATAAGTGAGATCATATATTATTTATCTTGTCTTTCTCTGTCTGACTCATTTCACTTAGTCTAATGCCCTCAAGGTCCATCCATGTTGTCATAGATGGCAGGATTTCCTACTTTTTTTTTTATGGTTGAACAACATTCCATTGTATACACACACACACACACACTATCTATCTATCTATCCCACTGTCGATGGACACTTGGGTTGTTTCCATATTTGGGCTTTTGCAAATAATGCTTCAGTAAACATGGGGGTACATATATCTTTTTGACATAGTGTTTTCATTTTCTTTTTTAAAATTTTTTTTAAATTAAAAAAAAATTTTTTTAACATACAATGAATTATTTGTTTCAGGGGTACTGGTCTGTGATTTATCAGTCTTACACAATTCACAATGCTCACCATAGTACATACCTTCCCCAATGTCCATCACCCAGCCACCCCATCCCTCCCACCCCCCTCCACTCCAGCAACCCTCAGTTTGTTTCCTGAGACTAAGAGTCTCTTATGTTTTGTCTCTCCCTCTGGTTTCATCTTGTTTCATTTCTCCCTCCCTTCCCCTATGACCCCTCTGGCTTGTTTCTCAAATTCCTTATATATGTGAGATCATATGATACTTGTCTTTCTCTGATTGACTTATTTCACTTAGCATAATACCTTCTAGTTCCATCCACGTCATTGCAAATGGCAAGATTTCACTTTTTGATGGCGGCATAGTATTCCATTGCATATATATACACCACATCTTCTTTATCCATTCA